TCCTTTAAAATGGAAGGTGTTTGTGCAAGGAGAATTTTTCTACCTGGCTCACTGTATTGATGGTTAAAATGCGTACATAAAGGTATTCTGCTTTTTCATCTTGTTTGTTTTGAACAGCAGACTTTAAATTTTGAAGGCCAGACATAAGTGTGTTTTGGGACACTGAGGCTCCTATGGTCTTTTAAACATATTTTCAAGATATTTTGATACTTTGTCCCACCAAATTGCCTGAAGTAGCTTTCATCGGGAAAGATTAATTTATCTGCCTCAGGGCAAAGTCAACAGAGATATTGACTGAAATCACATATGCTTATCATAGGTTAAATCTTAGGGTTGATGTAGAATGGAAAATGTGGGAGGGAAATTTATGTCCTTTGTGTTAAATACATTATAATATTTCATTGAAAACTAAGTTTTCAGTTTGCAAGAGAGTTTTCTTGCTTCTCCAGAATTTATTAGCACAACAGGCATATGGAAAACTGTAAAATGATTCAATTTCAAAACAAATTATGATAAACAGAAGAAATAGGGATAATTGTACTAAATACAATGTTTTCATACACATTTTAAATTAAACTTTAATAGCCATATGCTATAAAACAATGCATGCATTTATGTTGCTTTATAATTTTTTGAATATTTTTACTATAATGATTCATCCAAATCTTTACTTTGGAACCTGAAAATACTTCATTTTATGACCTAAGACTAAAAGAGCTACAGATACACAGGTGAAAGGTCAGCTTTTCCTCCTAGGTGTTTGTGTAACAAACCAAAAGGAGAAAAAAATAATTAATTTTTTTTTCTAATATTGTAAGAAATGAACTTGGTAAACTGTAAAGCCTGATTTTATCTTTCCAACAGCACATGCCTCCCAGTCAACTATATAAATATGAACCAGACTTGTCATTCACTCGGTTTTCTTTTCCAAAAAGCAGCTAAAGGAGGGGGGCATTTGTCTTGTTAGTCACATTAGAATGAGGAAGGAAATTTGGTTTTTCAAGGAAAGAATTAGGGTGCAGACTCTGGGGCCTCTGGGGAAGTAACTGCCCCTCTTTGTAGCTGACTTCTCGTCAATAAAATGGGGCTTGATAATAAGGCTTGGGGTCCCTAATTCTGTACCTGCTGAGCCAAAAGCTGCTTTGTATTTGATGGTGTATTTTGCCAGAGTGAAGACTAGGAAGCAGCCTTCTTGTTCCTAGAGCACTTTGAGAGCATAGATGAAAGGCACAGTGTATGTACAAAGTATTATTATTATTGATGGGTTTGTGTAACTGCCATTAACGCTGATGGGAGTTACGCATGTGAATTGGCAAGAGGATAGACCTCTCAGTGTTTAGAGCACATGAAATTTACATTTTTTCCAGTGCTGTAATTGAGATGTTGACAAATTGGAGAATATTGATGAGCCTTTGTTTTAAGTATTTCGTGCCAAGTTTGTTTTATTTTTCCTGGTTTGAACAATGGTATGGGTTCAGCAGTGATGAAAAAAGGGTAGAGTAAAGATAACTTTGTATTTCAATATTTTGATGTGCCAATATGAAATAAATTGTCTTAGGCAAATGGAATATGCTGTTTTAATCATTAGCTATGCATGAAAGAAAAATTGATGTTGACATCTTTGCTGTAAAATCGTTGTAATGGGGCCTTCCTTACAATTCATTTTTGTAAAATTCATTTTGTACATTTTGCAGCAATTGAACAATCCCTGCACTGTGAATAGGCAGGATTCCCAGAAATACCGAGACAGTTGGCCCAGTAACTGCTGAGCTCACACTACACACCACACACACGTTAACCATACTGTTGCCAGACCCAGATTAACCTAAATACATGAACACGCTAGCATCTATATTTCTAATCGCTCAAGACCCAGGGCTGTACAAGCCAGCAGGGTTCCCCTTGACTCTGCCACCAGACCCTCCATTGATGTCCCCATCTATCATCTAGGTAATGAGGCTAGAATCCCACAGCTAGATGTTTATTTAGTTATTGTGCAGTTCTTTAGCATGGTGTTGCAATCTACAAACATCCCCTCAGTAGTAAATGGAAGCCCTTCTAGTTCAGCAAATGCCTAAGATACCATGACACTTCTGAGTCTATGCTATGTCATAGTTATAAAATAATCTCTTTTCCCCTCACACCAAAACATTCATGTTACATATTTAAAGGAGGAAGGGGGAAAACCCACTTACTGAGGGTCCTGGATATGTTCTTCTGGGATTTCTTATTCAGTCTAGGAAAACTCTGTCAGTGGAATGTTTTCATAGTGGCGGCAATCTCTTTAAAATAACCCTAAATACAATATGACAGACGCCATCTGGCATCATCTTTTGCTAGTTGCTTTTAACTTTTATTTTTCCTAGAGCTAAGTTCATCCCAAACTGGTCATTTACTATCAAGATAAATACAATGGCACCTCTTTTCCTTCCTGTCCTCCTAATCCTATCAAAGTTTTTTTTCTATAACTATAATTGATGAATATGAAGACGCTGTCATATATAGAATATTATTACTATGGTACTTCCTTTCTGCCTTCCACTCCAAATGTTAAAATGAAGCCATCCTTCAACCATCAGCAAACACCGAAATAATTTCTGTTGATTTTTAAGGACTTTTTAAAGAGTAGTCGCCATCAGAAATAAAATTAAAGTCTTCTAATAAGTACATACTCTGGGAGCATGTAATGGTGCCCCATAAATGCTTGAAAGCTTTCTATAATTGCTGTTAATTTTGAGTAATTTCTTTCCTATATATATATCAACTTACTTGAAAAACCCAGAGTTGGGATTTCTAGACTTTTTTTTAACTTAGTCATGTAAAGGGA